CTGAAAATTATATATTTGATACTTAACCAAAGGGAGTAAAATAAAGGAGATAAAAGAAGAAAGAAAGTCAATCTTATTGCCTGTTATCAGCCACCTGCGGTTCTAGAACATAAACGCAGACAGACATCAGCGCGCCAAATTTGTTATGATAGTATGGCCTTATGCGGTCCACTGCTCCAATTCCCGCGACTTAGGTTTACGATGCCCATCAGAGAACATTATAAGATCCTCATCGTTGTGCGTTTCCCCGTTCGACAGTGTATCATAAAACAATGATGATTCGAAGACTAATAAACGATATACACCTCGAATCGTTGTATGGCACGATCACGCACCGTTTCTTGACCGCAAATCTGTCTGATGAATTACTAGCGACGATCCTCCTTTTTCTTCACTCGAAGTTTTACACTGATTTTTTTGGTTCGGAATTTCGGTCGATCAGAAGCGATTCTAAGACGACTGGAAATTAAAGGCAGTATCCACGATAAGTTGGAATGCGCCAGCAAATGAGTGTGAGAGAATGGGAGATACACACGCTAAAACAGCAAATTGGGATTCAATGTAAAATAATATTTTTCATCCAATGGACTAATTTTATGACTCTGTGGGGTATATAGAATAAAAACACGAGTAGACGGTGGTAGCAACGTGATTTTAATAGGTTTAAGGTACATAGTCCAGCCACGAACATGAACGATTCAAATATGCTCATGTCGAACTCTAAGCGAACCAACAGCGAATTTTCAGCTATGAGCGAATTAGTTGTAGGTAGGCATATACTGCTCCGGATAAACGGTAGCAAATAATCAGCAGTGATATCTGTGGACCAGATGGTTTTTTGCCTGTTTTTTGTCCGTTAAAGTATCGGAACGTACGGGAATCTGACTCGCCACAAAATCAGATCATCATTGTCACCTCAGGTAACAGTTAGCCTTATGTAGAGAAAACCGGGGCGGTATAGGAGTTGCTATTTTATATCATATTCTCAAGGTTCTTCATTGATTAAGTCAGTTGTCTAAAAGATTTCAATTCAGATACCGGTCACATATAATTATATAGTTGAGTAATCATTGTTTATCAGTTTTGGTCGAATGTTGGTTTTATGTATTTATTTTGCTCTCATTGGTTGTTTCGATCGATTTTTTCGTTACGGTACAAGTGCAATCGTACTACCGTTCGGTGCTTTTCGTGATTTACCTTATATCGTATTTACTTTGAGTTTTATTCCTAATATTATCCCAATCCAACCTTAAGAAAAAGTGTGCTCACTCCTGCTGGAGTATTTATTCCCACCAGTAGGCTGCTATTGATCGTCTGACTGCATGGTTGTTTTCTCACTCTGATATGGTGTATAGTCTCTCAGTGCCAATTGATTGTGTCGTTATTGATTAATTGACCCTCCGTTTTTGGATCGTCTTAGTTTTGTTCTGTTCCTATAACCCTCCTTCGGGAAGATTAACAAATTCTCATTTAAGGGCGTGATGTTGCATCCTCGGTAGCCTTGCTCATTGTTGTTGTTGTTCGCTTTATTGATTTAACGCGCATTCCAGATCGATATCTACTGTGTATTTCATCTCAATCAAGTGTTGCGCCAAATCTTGCGGCGAGTCGCCTTAACATCAACCACCTGGAGGTTTTCTTAAATTGTGTCACATGATTTTTTGTGCCAGTATTTTTTGAGGAACTTTATTTGATCTGCTGAATACCAGCTGTGTAATATCACATGGTTGTTCGGTTGGGCTGTTAATGCTTTTGATATTTTCGTTTCGTATCAGAACAAAAATTGATGGCGCAGTTAATCAGATCTAGCTCCGTTGCACAGTTGTATCTTCCTATTCATCCGTGGTGTTGTGGTTTTACCACTGATAATGTATATTTACATCGTCGAACACTAAGGTGTCAGACAGTTTTAGAACCAAAGGTGATTTAAGATAATGACCTGTGGTAGCATCATAAAAAGTGGATTCAGTCCCGAAAATCACTTGGAATATAATCTTAATATAAAGGTACTGTATTTTTTTGGCTGTTGTAGCAGTAGATTTTTGCCTGAGTAAATCCATCTGCATGGCTGTGCTGTGTGAATGCTCCGTATCTTGCCTGCTCGTGCTCCTCAACATGTACTATTCCGGTTAGTTGTTTTTCTCCTATTCGGTTTTTCACGACAACCATTCCTCCTGGTGCATTTTTCTTGCCTGTTTGTCAACGCATGCGTCCATTCATGTCCTGAAACGTGGCGCGAGAGTTTACTTAGTTTCTTCTTTTTATACATGTAATTTTCTTGCTTTCAGTGAGACTGACGGGATCTATGGTATGAACAGCTAGACAGGTGTGTTTATCAGTGCTGTTCTGGGCTGGAGTTTGATTTTGCCCCTGCTGTATAGATCTTAATTCTGTTATAAACGCTTTGAATCCACTCGCAACTCGTAATTGTTTATCATGGAGGCAGACGAGAATTCATATAATCTCGTAGTTTATCAAATGCCACTTTCACTGATCTATTCCGATTCACCAATCAGATAACCATGTTTGTGGCAGAATGAACAGTTGATTAGCACATACCATTCTATTTCAGTGCCAAAGCACTTCCTCTGTGGTTGAACGCGGTGGTGGCGAACGATACTCTACTACGAAGGTTCTATTGTGA